ATGTGTGACTCTGTTCACTCAATAAAAATGTGCTATAATGAGGCTCTGAGAGAAACACTGTGTGTTAAATGGCCGCAGATCCTTATAAATGTTAAATGTAGAAAAGGTTTTGGAAGTATATTGCACTGACCAAAGAGACACTAGGGAACGCAAGCTTCAGCTCATTCCAGTAACCTTAATTCAGAACAAAAAAAGAACTTGAGCCTGGAAACCTCTAAAATAGAACTAGCAAAGGACAGACAATCCGCCAGAAATATGCATCCCTGGCTCCTGCTGACTGTAAAGCTTGCTGCATTATCACAAACAGCTAGCTCTAACTCTGTGTTGTCCTGGCCCTTTGGGATGTGTTTGCCAGGTGAAGGAGGAAGGGCTTTCCAAGGTCTCACAGGGAGAGAGGGGGACCTCCAGCCCAGAACTAGACCATTCCCACTGCACCAATGAAGCAGCAGTGCCTGTTTGGGGCCAGATGCACCAGAAATACCCTGCATCTAGCACCAAACTCCAATGAGGGTAAGGTGAAGGTTAGCAGTGGGTAGGCTGGGGCAGACTCTCACCCAGTGTGGGTCCCTACCACTCACCAAGGCAGCTCCTCCCATCTGTGTGCAACTTGTACTGTGGATGGCAGCTACACTCGGGCCCTTCAGCCGTGTCTTCGCAGGAGTGCTGACACCCACCATTTCCATGGTTACAGGTCACTGAGAGCAAAATGCATCAATACATAAAGCACTGAGGTTTCCACAACCAGGGTTGTTTGCTTTGGAGGAACTCTGATTTTTACTCTGCAAGTATTTGAGGGCCTAGTGAATGCCAGGCTCTATGCATAAAAGAGAGAATTCCCATCCAGGCCCTGTCCATGGCTGCCTAAGCAGATAGTCATAGAGCAAATCACAGAAATAAATGCTGAAACATAAGTTTGAACAAAGTCATATGGGAGGGTGAAGATGGCAGAGTTGGGAGGAATTATACTAAGAGATTCTAGGCTATTGCTCTGCTCTAACTAATGAAACTTGCCTGTATGAGGCTTTGCGAAATGCCATAGCACTTCATATCTGGAGTAAACTGACAATRTTTAATTTGTACATATATGTTAGGATTAATCTCCGACTCCATCTGGATTTGTTAAAATGGAAGATAATCAGAGGAGATGATGACTCTTTGCACATAGTTAATGCAGCATTAACCAATAATTATGAAGACTGTGTATGAACGCATTGATGACAGGCCAAAAAATAAATTAAAAATGTCAACTACCAGGCTATCTGCTCATCAAACTATTAACAGAGTCACCTCTGGCAAAGGAAATGGGAGAGGGAGATTACTTTAGAGTGTTTGAATTTTTACATCAGCCTTTGCAATTTTTCTAATTTAAAAGAACTAATTACATATTTGAGATGTGAGAAAGCAGCTGTTCTGTGATTATAGCTATGTGAAGATTGTTTATGCACATGAATGACAACCAAACAGGAATATGAAAAAAATCAAAATAACTAGTTATATAGTAGGATTCTGGACCTTGCTTTTTTTTTTTATTCTCCAAATGTTTCTGTTTGATTATTTGAATGTTAAAGAATATTGAATCTTTAAACAGTGACAACTTAAAAGCATTTAAAATTTTTAAAAACAAGTTAATAGGTACTCTACCTCTAGCAATTGGCCCCTGGAAAACTGAAATGCTGAGATTCTCATTCCATGGGTGCGTCTTGGGGGGTCTGGGCCCTCCTTTGAAGCTTTGGAGGCAGAAGTGGTTTCTGCTCTGCCCCTGAAAGCCCTCAAAGACAGCCTCACTTTAGGAGGCTGTAAGAGTCTGTCAAAGCCTGTTATTTGAGGGTGATGGTGGCACCAGCCATGGTTTGGCAAGCTTTGAGGTAAACCCATCTCCTCATTTCTTAACCACTAAGGTCTCCTCACTGCAAATGACTATCCGTAGCAGTATTCTCTCTGCATAAATAGTGGTTAGGAACACCGTTAATTGCCATTCGTTTCCTGTTACCCATTGGGGTTTTGCTACCACAACCATTGTGCAGCAGCTGTGTCCACATTTGTACACCACCATTCACTTAYTAGTTAAACCAGTGCATACTGAATACATCCTGCAGTAGACACCAGAGAAGACTGAAAAGCAAAAAGGGAGATAAAGTCCTGGATTGGAATGGCTTATAACTGGGGAGACAGATATTTGAAAACACAATTCAAACCAAAATGTCACACACTATGAGAAAGAAACAAAGTGCTATGGGAACCAAAATACAAAACAGCTACCACTAGGAAGGCTTCTGAGGCACTGAAGTATGGAGATTAAGAGCACAGCCTTAGAGTCAGGAGGACCGAAGGTTGAAACTAATTTCCCACTTACTCACAAGGGGATCTTGTTGCTTTATCTTCACTACAGTTTTCTCAACTAAAATTGGGAGTAATAATACTTAGGTCATAGAGTGATGCTTATAAAAATTAATGGGGAGGCACACACCCGTAATCCCAGCTCCCAGGAGACTGAGGTAGGAGAATTACAAGTTTGAGGGCAGCCTGGTAACCTAGCAAGATCCTGTCTCAAAATAAAAAATAAAAAGGGCTGGGGATATAGTTCAGTGATAGAGCAAGCCAGGGTTATATCCCCAATACTGCCAAAATAATAATAATAATAATTGTTATTGTTGTTGTTATTATTAATGTGGAATACCTTGAGAAAAGACTTTACACATAATAAATGCTCCAAAAACTGTAGGTGTGTTCTTTGTCATTATTAGAAGTTAGGTAGGATGTTGAAGATTGAACCAAAGTTCACCACACTAGGATTGGAGGAGGGCTTGAAAAGGTTGACAGGTATCAAGAAGATGAGGCACCCCCCAAAAGGCAATGAGTTTTGAGCTTGGGAAAAGGAGGCAGATGAGACTTATAAAGAAAGCAGGGATCAGGTAGCCAGGAGCTATAACTGCCAGATAAGAGAATTTTAYTTTATACTGTGGGAAGAAGAAGAGCTGACCCCCCAAATTCACACTCTTTCTTTACTTTTTTTTTTTTTTAGTTGTAGATGGACACAATATCTTTATTTTATTTATTTATTTTTATATGGTGCTGAGGATTGAACTCAGTACCTGACATGTGCTAGGTAAGCGCTCTACCACTGAGCTATAACCCCAGCCCAACATTCACACTCTTTACTCCCTAATTTCATTTCCTTCTGAGTAGTTCTTTTTAAAATAGCATTCCCCAGTGACCTGGGATGCTGAAGCAGGAGGACTGCAAGTTCAAGGCAAGCCTCAGCAACTTAACAAGGCCCAGAGCCACTCAGCAAGACCTGTCTCAAAATAAAAAAATAAAAAGGGCTGGGGATGTAGCTCAGTATTAAGTGCTCCTAGGTTAAATCCCCAGTACTAATTAATTAGTTAGTTAGTTAATTAATTAAATAACATTCCCCTTTCCTACAGAGACTACCCTCATGCAGTGAACCAAGCACTGGATAGAGGACAGCACTTGTGCCAACTGCCTTCCCCGTGCCAGGAGATATTCATGCTGAGCTATGGAAGGCAGCCTCTGGGGTATGATGTCCCTCATACAGCTGAGTTCCAGACCATACTTACAAATGCAGTCTCTCTGGTTCTTGGCCAGCTCAAAACCAGGCCTACACTCGCAGGCAACACTCCCCTTCGGTGCCTCCTTGCAGATGTGACTACAGCCATGATCCTTATTCATGCAGCTCAGACCCTCTGCAAAACAGCAGCATGCAGCAGGTCATCCGGTAGTGGTCAGGATCCTGAGGATTCTGCAGAGGAGCTCCAAGAGACTGGTGGAATGGGAGGTAGGAAGCTAGGCCATAAACCTGCCCTCCTGGGTCTCTATCTGCTCCACATTTTAAAAGAATATTTCAAAATAAGCTAGGTAAATTAACAGAAACACAATTTTTTTAATCACCCAAGAGACATGATGTCTCAACTCTCCTAGAGGTGGGAGCCCTCCTCAATAACCTGGAATACTCTTCTGGGTGTGGTATCTGAGCCTGCTTACCCCAGGAACTAGGACCCAAACTTTTATCTCTGCCATAACTTCATTCATTCATTGGTCAAGACCAGAAAGAGAAAAGGAGAATCTCTCTAAGCAAATTTGCAGATGGGGTGGTGAGATGGTAAAAGTCTCAATTTTTTCACATATTCTTGAAGACCTTTTTCAAAAAATGTCAACCCTCCTCTCCACGTTTACCACATCCACAGATGTGGAGCTGAGGGTGACAACTACGTTTTGACATCACCACATGTACACCTGCCAGGGACCTCTTTTATGCTGGTTCCTAGGCCCTGCCCTCCGCAGCTTCATAACATAAGCCTCTGACAGACAGCATCATACAATGGCACTATGACAAGAGAACACAGAAGGAGAGAGAGAGAGAGAGAGTCAGTCTCATACATGTGGTTTCCTTTAGCTACTGTACAATTTTTTAGGTATACTACAAATTTCTATTAGAGCCAATCTTGTACTAATTATGGTAGGAATGGGGACAGGTGGCTATGTTCCTGGATGGGTTATTGTGCATCATTTAGATAGCATAGAAACAGTATAGTACACCTGTGTGGGTTACCAGATCCTGCCTCATCTTGAAACCAATTTATTGAGATCTTGCTATTTGCCATCACTTTGAAGGAACTTTGAGTACTGCACTAAAGACCTGTTCATATGCTGTTTCTTGGCCTCTATGCAGTACAACTCTAAAATATCTCTAAGTAGGGACTTGGTTCTCATTGGYTCTCTATTAACAAGACACTTCCTAATACTAGAAGTAGCACTGTTTAAATACAAGTTCAACAGGTTTCATTCAACATCTCTAGGATCTAACACTGTTTCTTATTGTGTCTCTAAAACCTTAGCCAATAGGCTCTAATGAAATCACAAGTCTCCTCCATCCACCAATGTGTCATAAGAACAGCTTTTTCAACATAAACAGGTACCATTCCTATTCCAAAAGACAGCACAGCTTTAAGACATCCCCTACTCTCTTGTGTCTCTCCTAGAACAACCTTGCTTTTTATCTGACATTTCTGAATGGTCTGCACCCTGGTACCCAATCTGTGCATGTTGCTGAGGTTCATTTGCCCCTGCCAAGCAAGGACTGCTGTCAAGTAACACAGAGATTTTTCTGGATGCGTGCATAGTTCTCTCTGCTCTGGCTGGTAATTTCTGAAGATATCATTCACTCCCCAGTACCAAGATGGTAACTGGAGGTGAAAGCTGACTCCCAAAAGAAGCAGTGTCCTGTCCTCCTGAGAAGGACCAGTAAGCAGTGTGTATTTGGGTCAGTGAAGCACTTGAAATAACCACACCAGGAACACTGGAGGGTAAATGTAACGGTGCCCAAGAAAAGGTGACAGAACACTTGAAGAGAATATTTCCTTCATCTTCGCTGCCTTTTTCACTTTGTTTACAGGTCTGTCAAGATGTTTGCAAAGTGATCTTTACTGTCTTTGAGCAGTTCATCTAGAAAAAATATTTCATAAGAATGACTAGGTGCCAGACACTATCCAGTACATAGAGAAGCTGCCCCCTGATATTCTATCATATCAAGCTAGATTGGCAGTTACCAAGAAGTAATGGAGGCTTAGACCATTTTTCAAGAGGCAATCCCCCAAGCCTTTCATAGTACCCTGACTCAAAACAAAATCACTGCTGGGGGAGGCAGATGGGTCTGTTAAAAATCAGGAGGCCCAAAGAGGGTCCCAGCTCTTCAGGAATATCTGAGACCCTTCATTCACCAGAAGGGAGACAGTTAAGAAACACCAGAAATTCCCTGTTTTGATGCTCCCCAGGCAATGAAGGATATTTCTAGGAACAGATAATAAAATAAGAGCACGTCTTGAGAATGAGGCAAAAAATATCACATAATACAGGACTGAGAAAGCAGCGCCTTCCTCACCCCAATGCTCCCCATTACCTGCACCATCTAAATGTTCTCAGAGCAGACAAAACCAAAGAGGAATGCTCATTTTGAGAGCCTGAGCGCCCATGAATAGGAACAATGGCAGGCAGGGGTGATGTGTGTCTCTCCAGCCTACCCCCATTACATGGGTGAAAACACACAGTCTCTTTATCAGAGCTTAGGGTCTCTAAGGATTAAAAAAAAAAAAGATAAATAGCTTGAGCTTTCCCTCAGAATCAGCTGTTTTGATCCCCTATACTCAAGAGTACTTAGTAAACAGTTATTAAAAACAATAGCAGCACTGGAAAATACTAACCTGCTGGTGTTACCTCCTTTGACAGCCTTTAAAATACCAACTGTGGGTTTTTAAGTCTGTTTTAATACAATTTCTAAGAGCCCAGGGAGGAGGTCCTACAGGAATATTGTTCAGAGGTTATTCAGTTTAAAGAACTAAGACCCTAGGCTGGATGGGGTCACAAATTCCTGTGATCAGCTGGCTCCCACTGGTGTGTATTTACCAAGCTATCAGGTTGAAACGCAACAGAAAATCACAGAGAGCTCTTCCAGACCACAACCCAAATTCTTGGATTTTGGTTTTAGTTCCAGACAAATATGATCATTTTAAATACTCTTCGGGGGATCTAAGAATGTCTGAATTGGAGGAAATTTAGAAAACAGCTTGCAGGAAGGAACTGCATTTGTATTTACTTCTGTTATGAGGATCCTCTGTCTCTACTCAATCTAGGGGCTTTCAAGGAGAGAAAGGTTGAGCCAGGGCCCGGGAAGTGCAAGTTAAGAGAGCATCTGAATCTCTACAAGCTGCCCTGAGTGGTGGGACTTATAGCGGGGTTTCCAGGAATGGCTTCACCATAGGTCCCTTCCTCCTGTCCCAACCACCAGAAGAAGAGCCAGCATGATTCATGAAACAGCTTTGAACTACCAATGAGGGTGATGCTCTGAGGTTCGGATCACTCTTTGTCCCTGGCAACTTAATTCACCCCCACCTCCAGTTCTACCTACTTTGGACAAGACTTTAGTGCACACCACAGAACCCGGCAGGAAAATAAAACCCAACTACTACTCTATCAAGGGCCACACCTACCATAGGATAAGTAATTTGCATGGTTATAAAGTCAGGAGGAAGAGAAAAGTCTAGCTAGATAGGGAAATGGGCCCCTGGGTGACTTCCTGGGCAGCAAAGCACAAATAGCAGCTGTAGGTTTTTGCTGAGAAACTTGCAAAAAGGTTATTTTTAAATCAGGACATATGTGACTTGGAATTCGTAACCTCTCCAAAGAAGGAAAAATGCCTGATCAATATTTTGATTGGACTAAAGGCTGCATGAATGCCTCATAAACACTGAATGCCTTACCCAGGATTGGGCAGGAGGCCGACTTCCTTAAACCTAAAGATCCATACAAACCCCTGGACAACTGGCATCTCTCTTGGGACCCCTCCCTCCTTGGAAGCTCTGATTTCTTTCTGTTACTGTAATAAATCCTGTCACCTTGCTCTCATCTTTGTGTCCGTGGATTTCATTCTTTAAATTCATGAGACAAGAACCCACTTGACAGCCACACTCTGTGTTACAATTAGAGTCAGCATGTGTGACTCCCCCACCACAAACACTAGAATAGGCAGATTGGGGTGATCACAATCATCAAAGTCACTGGCCCCTGGTGATTTCTCTGAGGACTCTTCTTAGTATTCTCATTAGGCATACAGTATGAGTTTGCATCTTTGAAAAATGAGTCAAAATCATCTTTCACAAAGAAACCCTTGAAAAGTCACCAAAACTATGATAAACAATAAATCTTCAAATGTGTGATTAAACAGAACTTAAAATGACTTCACTCTYAAGTTATGAGAGTGAATTTGCAGAATATGCCAAAAGAAATTAATAGTTTAATATTTAGGGCACTTCCCTTAAAAAACAGGCAGATGTAACTGCAAGAGAAATACAGCCACCACAATGTTGCTCTTTTAAAAGAGCAGTGAAGAATTAAAAGGATGACAGTTAGTTAAAAATAACTGATTGGCTACATGTCCTTAATGCTTCTCTCTCCCAACACTCCACCATCAGGAATAAAAATAAATTAATTAATTAATTAATTTTWAAAAAGGCATAAACTCAAATCAAAGAGAATGAATGAAAGTGAGGCCATCAGAAGAGATGGGTTTCCTGTACATTTATGGAGGATAAAGAAACTGCAGCATAGAGAGCCCCAATGCAGAAAGGGATCCTCCTGCCTCTCAAAATCCTAGAGGCTTGKAGTTGGAAATGCAAACCATTAAACAAAAAACAAAGAAAGAAAGAAATGCAAAACATGCTGGGCATGTCCCAAGCCTATAATACCAGCTGCTGGGGAGGCTGATGCAGGAAGATTCAAGTTCAAGGCCAGCCTGGACAACTTAGTGAAGTAAAATTTAAAAAGAACYGGAAATATAGCTCAGTGGCAGAGTGCTTGCCAAGCATATATGAGGCCCTGGGTTTGATCCCAGTCAAAGAAAAAAAAAAAAAAGCAAAACACAGGGGAAAAAAAACTAGTTTAGGGCTGAAGCAGGGCAATTCATGGCCAGTCTCCACAGAAAGGTACAGTCCCCTCTGAATCCACCCAGAACACGGGGCAGGCTGGCACTGGTACTGTGGTTTTCAGCACACTTGTGAAAAACTTGGTAGATCATCCATCTTATTTCTCCAGAGACATCTAGTTCTGTTTGAAATACACTCTATTTAAAGATTAGAACTAGAGGAGATGAGGGTTTGTGAAGACCTTGGAGCTTCCCCAGTGTCTTATACTGAGTTTTCTGGGTAAGGAAGGCRAAGGGGAAATAACTATCCATGGCTCCCCAGCTTCAGTCTGGACTTGATCCCAGGCCTCCAGACTTTCAATATGCTGCGCTTACCCTCAGAAGTACTGTGTGCGCATGGGGGCGAGGACCCTCCCCTGTGACCATTCGACAACCCCCAACAGGGCAGAGGTACCTTCTAAACGGTGAATGCACGTGTGCTGATTGTCACTCAGGAAAAAGCCCTGCTTGCAGCGGCACTCGTAGCTCCCCATGASGTTGACACAGGTGTGCTGGCAGCCGCCATTGTTCTCCAGGCACTCGTCCACATCTGGAGGGAGGGAGGGATTTGCCTTTGCTTTTGTGACTGTTTCAAATACCCCACCCAGCCCAGCAGCTCAAGGACTCCTGCTAAGCAGAGATGAGGGCTTTTTTCCTTGTCCCTGCATCTCAGAAGCTCTCAGAATCAAAACAACAGGACTGCAGATGATTACCCAGCCTCATGTGTCTGGGACTCACTTAGCCAGGACCCTGGCTGATGAATAAATCAGTTCATTTATTCATCTCTGCTTAGATGATCAGTTCATTTACTGAACACCTTCACTTTCCAAAGCATGGAACTAGATGAGTAAGATAAAATTTCTTCCCTCTAGGAGCATGTCCTTCAGGAGAGGAAGAAAGACAAATAGACATCTGAGATAAGGCAAAAGGTGRTACAGAGGAAAGACAGGTCACATCTGATCGTGTGGGATCAGCACAGTTTTTAAGGAGAAACTGATAAAAAGAGGGCCTTAGAATTCCTTGCATTATAAATTAGGAGGAAAAGAGACTGCAGGCAGAAGAATGAATGTAAGTCCTGGCCCAGAGGCTGGGAAGCATGGAAGAACTCAGATATAGTGAGTCATTTGATTTGGCTGGAGCACAGGGAATGTGGAAGGAAGTCACAGAAGATACAGCTGGGAAGATAGATTGAAGTCACACTGCAGGACTTTGAATACCAGGCAAAGGAAGGCAGTTGGGAACCACTGGCGGGGGTGGGCACTTTGGGAAAAATAAGGCAGCAATTGAGGGTCAGATGCAGAGAAGGGAAAGAWCTGATAGCTGGGAATCCACCTGCACACACACACCAGGCAGCCATGGCCAGTGCTGTCCTAACTGGGGACAGACAGCAAACTGGGCCTGACCATGGTTTGCTAGCAAGGCAGGTGTAGAAGATTGTGGGTGGATAAGGTGCCCACAGGGCTGGAAGACTTGCAGGCTGTGAGTGGGGCATTGTTAGATGGGAAGTTGATGCTGGGTCCTTCTAGAACACAAACATAGGCAAGACCAGTGCTGGGGACTGAAATGGGGATGGTGACATAGTTGCCCCCTTCATCTCTAGACAGGGAGAGGATGTGCCTGACATGTGACATCAGGGCTAGATCCAGCAGATGGGGGAAACCTGGAGGGTAAATGGGAAGAGAATCCAGGGCCATATGTACAGCCTTGGAAACCACTTACTTGCAGTTGCCAAAGTAGTGACTGTACACGAGAAAGCCAAGGGCAGGAATATGAAAGCAGAGAAACAGGCAGAAAGGAGACAGCAGCAGTCAAATTCTGGACAGCATCAAGGGCAGGAAGCAGGTAGAAGAGGGACAAGTAGCCTCAGAGGAAAGGCCAGGAATGCAGGGAGAAAGGAGGCCTCCCCAACCTGCTCCTGCATTCATACCCTGGATAGGCTTAGAGGCCTTTCTTCCCACTGTGGCCACAACACCCTGTGCACCCCTCACCGAAACATTTACCCAGGTGCATCTTCAAGACCTTTTACCTATCCATCGCCACTAGACTGCAAACTCCTTGAGGACAAGATTTTTGTTTTAATTAACTCAGCCCTAGAACAAGCAGGTAGTCGTTCACTATCCATACAGGAGCATCACCAGAACCAAAGAAGAAAAAACTTCAAGAAGAGTCTCAGATGCCACAAAGACTCTTTGTGAAGAAGGCTGATTAGAAAGCAATTTAATCCTAGCTACTAAGGAGGCAGAATCCTGTGTCAAAAAAAAAAAAAAAAAAATGAAAAGAGCTGCAGAAAGAGCTCAATGGTAAAGTACCCCTGGGTTCCATCTCCAATACAGAGGGAGAAAAAAAACAGTTTATTTTCTTCAGTCTAATTCCTCATATGCCTATCACTAGCTCCTGGGCATATCTGTAACCAGAAAATTCACATTTAAATGTCTGTTATCTGGTTTCAAGCCTCAGATCTTACAGGCATCTGTCCTCCCACACTGCGAAGCAGATGCCTGACTAAACTGATGGGACTTGAGCCATCCCCTAAAGCCTAACAAACTCACCCTTGTCTATGCCAAAGGGTAAAGGAAGCACATTCCAGAGGATGAGCCGAGCTGAGACACACCTGGCCTTGGTGTTCCACATGGAGGATTCAAAGTGAGCAGGAGAGCTGTTTCCCTCAGCACCACATCCAGGATTAAATGTGCCCACCTCACATTTAACCCACTGTTTTTTCTCCAAAGCAATCAGAACTGTGTCATTGAGTGTCACACCATGATTAGATAAACACAACAGTGTGTTTTCACATACACAAATAAATATCATCAGGCTTGTGAGCTTCTCCAGACTACGGGACAGGGGTTCTAAGCCTTGCCCRCATGTTAGCACCCAGATTGCTGTACTCCTCCTCCAGAGACACACATAGAACTGGGTTTGGGTGAGGCCAAGGCAAAAGCAATGGTTAAAGGTGATTTTTCAAGTGAGGCGAGGACTGAGAACTGCTGCTATGAAGCCAAACGGCTACGATGAGCTCCCAGGCGCTCTATCAACTCAGAACTCAGGCAGGGTGGGCTGCATTCATTTCTCAGGCTAGTGGGCATTCAGGATCTCAGAACACCCTGGGTTTGGTGCCAGTACTCTATACTCTGGCTAATACATTTGTGGCTAATGTATGGCTAGTGGGCTGATGAGAAGGAAGGGGTCATCACAGGAACCTGCCATTCCCAAAGAGTTTGGGTCCTGACCTTCTTTTCCTGCCACAAACTGCACTTTCTGGTCTGAGTGGCAGTCACTATGTATACTGGTCCCACTCTTCCAAATGGACTTCATCTTCTCATGCCTTCCTTTTAAAGAATCCTTAGCCCCTGCAGACATGCTTAGTGGATGTTCAGGGTCTCTCTGTAAGGCAGATGTTTGTCACCAAGTTCACAAAAGAGACCCGAAGAGGAGAAATGGAAATACCCTGATGAAATACCCTACTATGTTACTGGCCAAGGCAAAGCAAGAATCCAGGCCTCAGGATGTCTGAGCAGGCCTGTACTTAGAACCATTCCACCTGCCCTGGCCCAGGTCCTGAAGCCTTGGATGGGTCAGCTTTTTGCTCTTAGGAAGCTCACATTTTCCCGAAGGCTGTGGATCAGAGCATAACCATAATGACTGGGTCTGCCATCAGATATGAATCCTCAGAATGCCACTGTTGGCAAATCAAAGGGAAATCTCCCCGCTGAAAATGGAAAACAAAGCAAACAAAAAACCCATACTATAAGCCTCCCAACAGAAAAAGAACTTCCCTTTTCAGAGTTTTTAATTCATTGCAATTCATTCCTGTCTCAGGACTGTCTCTTTAATGTGTCTTTTTTGACACTGACTGCCTAGAAAGTTTGCAGAGAGGTGGTTGCTTCCCTGGTCTTCAATCAAATCTTACTGACACTT